AAAATCGTTGAGCCACAACTAGTGTTACGACAGTCAGTGAAATTATTCAATATCGAAAGATACTGACCTTGTGCCAAATTCTTAGATTTATTTGATAACAATATCCCTCCACTTGAAATTTGTACTCCAACCAAGTTCATCGGTACCCCTATCCCGTCTACGACATCTAGTGGTGCCCTCTTTCCCAAATCTTGGTCAACAATATCAAAAAGGTTATAAGTGTTATACCTCACCAATGTCGCACCATTTATCGAGACATTGAGTGTGTAAGCAACATATTTCAAGGTAATCGTCACTTCACTACTCAAAAAATGAAAAGTATGTGTTTCGGGCCTCCTACGTTCAATCAATGTTAAAACCAATGCTGGGTTCACCTTAAAAGCACGAAAAAATATGGTTGGATACAATCCGGGTTGTTTTAGATATATAATAATTCACTCATATGAATTTTTAAGTGTCATTCCTCGCTAAAGAATTCCTCGTTCTTCTTTCTACAATATCAATTTCGATCAATTAATCAAATTCTCAAAACAACAAAATTAATAATTTGTACTATTAAAAATATAAGAAAATTTTTTACCGGAGCAAGATCAACTGAAGAAATATGGATAGCATCAAGGCATAATATTTCATCTCGGGTAGACATTTTAACAGGAATTCTTCAAAAACAATTCTCAAGAGTATTTTCTTCTTAACAAAACACAATAAAAACTATAAACCCCAAATCCCTATTTATAACTCTAAACCCACAACTATAAACGGAATTTGAGATTATTCACACCATGTACGCTTTGGAAGTTTAGGCTCATGCTCTGGCGCAACCGGAGTTGCCCATGGTGCCAGACAATTCCCAGAAATGATTGAACTCGTCGCAGAATGCGTTGGTAAGCAAGCGGTTCAAGATTCCTCAGCCGAACGTGAGTTGCGATGCTATTTTATGTTTATGTGGGATAAGACTCCACCAGCTTAGTTCCTAGAGTTGTCCAGCAACTCGACGCCAACAACTGCGGTGAAGGATTTGGAGAGGGATTGCAGGAACTCTTCTTATGCTGGGTGTACGAAATGCCTTGGCGCTCTCCAAACGGTGAAGTAATTAATGAGAATTGTTCCCTTTTTCTGGGCTTCCATTACTGCATTCTGTAATTTTACAGCTCAAAGGAGGATACAGCAAGAACAGAAGCAGGAGGTGCGACAACAGAGCCATCAAGATGTTCAACCGAGATTGCCAGCTGATGAGGCCAACTTGGCTCCTCGCACGCAACAAAACGGCGGACATACCCGTTGTTTAAGCCGTGCTCCGTGCAATATTGTACAGTGCGCACCCTCACGAGTGGAGTTGCAGCCCAGATCAAATCAAGATTCAAGAGAACTTGCCGTTAGTCGTCGATGCTCTCTAGCTCGAGAATGGCAAATCGTAAGCACCGACACCGGGATGGGTCGATTTTTTCCATATATCACTGTTTTGATTGGGCTTAATGTTAAAACTTGGACTCGTCCTAATGGTAACTTCAAACTAGTTAGCCATAGTGAATGGGCTTATACTTGAATACTTTATACCACACATAGATCAAACTTAAGGCAAAATTGGCCCATTACTCCACCCAGATTTTTATTTTGGTATCTACGACAAATGTTACAGTACAGGGTAAACTCGTCTCGTCGACGTGATAAGTTTATCCAAATAATATTGTTAAATGGATCAAGGTAAGTGAGACTCATTGGGTCTAACATTTTAATATATTTTCAAAAACTCATCACGTCGACGTAACAAGTCCCATTAAAAAATGAAATTATTTTTTAACTTAAATTAATTTTTAAAAAAATAAAAGAACTCATCACGCCGACATGATGAGTTCAAAGTGAATTTAAAATTAACTAACTTATAGTTGTTGGGCAACGAGCAGATTTTTAAATTTTAAAACTATAAAAGTTATAACTTGCTATCTCGACGTGACGAGTATCGTCTAATTTCATTTAAATAACTAATTTTTAAAATAATTTATTACAAACTAATTTCTTACAAATTAATAATAATTTTTTTAAACTAATGCAATCACTAAAAATAAAATAAGATTTTTACTTATATTTCCTTAATTATTGACGATGTCGAGTAGTGGTCGAATAATAATGGTGTGAGGCTCATCGATTTCATCGTGGTCGTTCGCCTTGATCATCTTCATCTTCGTTTGCTTCTTCTTCGATAGGAGTTGTACTGAACATCACTCTACTTTGATTTCCATCTTCAAAATACGGTGATGGAATATTTAAGGTATTTGACGCCATCATTATCTTCATTGACTCGAATTATCCACCAAAATATGTATGTTGTTGACCATATAGAATATGATCTCATTCACCCACAGGTTACATCGAAAATGGCTGAGCACCTTGCATTACATCCCATAAACCTCCAACCTAATTCGGTCAACTCTCCATTAAAGCATATTATGGAGGATAAAAACCATAATTGAATTGAGATGTAAAATATTCTAACCAGAAGAAGAAGAAGAAGATACCGATGATGATGATTTTCGAACCTTTGCGTATTTGACCTTCATTTCTTCCCATTCGACCCTATCTCCGAGAGTTGTTAAATATGATTTCTCGTTTGCATCATAATTTCGAAGGTATGGAGATACGTTGAAATCAAGATCAACAGTTGTAATCTCGAAACACATAGGCACAAATAGATGATGCTTATTCCATTGTTGAATATATACAACATGTTTCCTCGACCAATTCTCTTTCTGCTTCCTACGTGTATCAATTCTATGGAGATCGACCATCTCAAATATTTGCATATAAATTGGTTGATGGGACGCAAATTGACACTACACTCTATTTGTGGCTTATATCTTAACAATTGCAAAATGATGCAAAGGTGTTAACAATTGGTAGATCTCCGGCTCACAATACGAAATCCAACAAAACTGTAAACATTAATTAAATTATAAAAATTAGTATAAATTATAAATAAACAAAAAAATAAATAATTTACGAAAATAATATTTGTCGCATGTCTACCGACAATATCGATCCTTGACAACATTTTCTCGATAATTTTATGTTGTCATCTAAACAATATAATAAATAAAAATTATTCAATAAGGATACAAAATAAATTTAAAAATCTAGAAAAAATAAAATTAAAAAATTACCTTCTAGTAGTGAAAACTCAACCAGGGCTGATGTAATTGGCGTCAAAAACAAGAACCGATACCACGCCTAGGACTATAGCAAGACTATAACCATCTGCATCGGCTTTTTGACTCCCTTTCAACAATTGTAATCTTGCAAAGTTCCAAGTATAAAAATGTCAAAATCGTTGAGCCACAACTAGTGTTACGACAGTCAGTGAAATTATTCAATATCGAAAGATACTGACCTTGTGCCAAATTCTTAGATTTATTTGATAACAATATCCCTCCACTTGAAATTTGTACTCCAACCAAGTTCATCGGTACCCCTATCCCGTCTACGACATCTAGTGGTGCCCTCTTTCCCAAATCTTGGTCAACAATATCAAAAAGGTTATAAGTGTTATACCTCACCAATGTCGCACCATTTATCGAGACATTGAGTGTGTAAGCAACATATTTCAAGGTAATCGTCACTTCACTACTCAAAAAATGAAAAGTATGTGTTTCGGGCCTCCTACGTTCAATCAATGTTAAAACCAATGCTGGGTTCACCTTAAAAGCACGAAAAAATATGGTTGGATACAATCCGGGTTGTTTTAGATATATAATAATTCACTCATATGAATTTTTAAGTGTCATTCCTCGCTAAAGAATTCCTCGTTCTTCTTTCTACAATATCAATTTCGATCAATTAATCAAATTCTCAAAACAACAAAATTAATAATTTGTACTATTAAAAATATAAGAAAATTTTTTACCGGAGCAAGATCAACTGAAGAAATATGGATAGCATCAATGCATAATATTTCATCTCGGGTAGACATTTTAACAGGAATTCTTCAAAAACAATTCTCAAGAGTATTTTCTTCTTAACAAAACACAATAAAAACTATAAACCCCAAATCCCTATTTATAACTCTAAACCCACAACTATAAACGGAATTTGAGATTAAAAAATCCCATGAAACTCGTCTCATAATTGTTTATGTTCGTTGTCCAACAACTATAAACAACTAGTTAATTTTAAATTTCAAAAAACCTCATCACGTCGACATGATAAATTTCTTTTTTAATTATTATAAATTAAAATTTATTTACTTAGTTTAAAAAAACCAAAATATTATTTTATAGGTATTCATCACGTCGATGTGACGAGTTCCTGAAAATATATTAAAAATTAGATCCCACGGGTTCCACTTATTTGGGTCTATTTAAAAATATTATTTGGATAAATTTATCACGTCGACATGACAAAATTGTCCTACACTGCAGCATTTGTCATAGATGCCGAAACAAAAATCTGGGTGACCTAATGGGCCTATTTTGCCCAAACTTTAGGTCTATATTGGGCTCAATCTTAAGGTCTATCTAGCGTACGCGCTACCTTCGTACTTGGAACCAATTCTCAATACAAATAAATGGTTTTCAATATTGGTCGAGCATTATCTTATTTAACGTTATTGCTATTGTATCATCAGGGAGGTCTTATATTCGAGTTCACGTTAACCTACTCTTCCATTGACATTGCCAGCTTAAAGACAGTAACATATAAGCTTCAAAAATCCTAATAAATGGGAGGTAAAATATTAGCAACCAAACCCACTTCACGATGAATCACTGTCTTGTATTTTTGGTTATAAATGCTGTCGACACTCTTTGTCTCTTAAACCAGACATTACACGGTGCCAATGACCGATTACAGTGTGCAGTAAAGTATGAATCTATTACCGAGTACCAGACGTTAAGAACCGCCTCTCTCGACCTTCGAATGTTCGAGTATACTTCGATTATTATGAGATTTCGAAGTATATTCGAACATTTAATTTTCGAGTTATTGCAATAACAACCATGTGAATTATATTAGCAATCAAGATATTCCCATTCATGCATCATTTGATGAAAAACAAGATCCACAATATCATCACCATAAATCTCATTATGCAATGGAAGGTCTTTCTCTGTGACAAACGGCTCACTCCAGAAATCTCCGCCGCTTCGATCCTCGTACATGGCCGAAGAACACGAAGGGAGACCACCAACATTTCCCGTACCGCCTCCACCAATGTTAAAGCTCGGCGTATATCCACAATCGAAAACCGGGCTGGTGGCGGCATACAATTTGACAGTCGACGCCGCCGTCGCCTTTGTGGTCGGAGACAAGGCCGAGCTCTCTAGTATCATGTTGGGAGGCATAACGATATGGATGCTTTCGGCTTCACATTCAAGACTGTGGATGGATAAGGATTCGGTTTGGGAGTTATCCGTGGATGACATGGGATCCCGATTTGCACATGCTTTTAATCGAGTGTGCCAGCGATTTTTTACCTCGTTATCTGTTCTTCCGGGTAAGCTCGCAGCGATCATCGACCATCTGTATTTCCATGAATTTAAACGTGGAATTTATTTAATTAAAAAAGTATTCTTATATCAGCAATATGACGATTGCATGCTCACGTAAGGTTGTTCCATATAAATTAATGTCGAGTCACTATTTTACTAACGCGTAGCATACCTGTAACTTTGATTATTATTATTTACAATAATGGTCCCATTCTAGTCTAAAAATGAGATAAAATGTTAGATTTTTAATTCCTAAAAAGCTTTGGAGTGTAAGCTGACACACATGGATGAAGTATACTGGAGGTCACTAAACTATTCACATTAAGTAATTTTGATTATTAAACTTGTAAAAGTAATAAAATGGTTATTAAATTTATCAGAAAGGACCCCTATGATATTATAATAAATTGTAAAAGTTTGACGAAATTAATGATTATTTTATAACATTTTGATAAAATTTGATTACTGTTTTGTAAGAGTTTGATAAATTTAATGATCATTTTGTAATAGACCGTAAAATCGGACTAACCTATTTCCGTATTCTTCATGTAATTTCAAGATTAGGGCATCTTCTTGTTCAGTGAAGTTCCCATGCTTTACTTCAGGCCGGAGGTAATTCATCCACCTTAATCTGCAACTCTTCCCGCACCGTTGAAGACCTGAAGAAGATTCAACAAAATCAGATCACTTTATGAACAATAATAAGATATCAAAACTTCAGTTGTTTAAGCAGAAGGATTAGGTTTTCAATAGAGAAAGAAGATGAATAACAAACATGGAAGCCGTATGTTACCAGCTTGCTTGGGTAGTTCACGCCAGTTCCAATGACCAAATCTTTCGATATAAGAACGCAGTTTATCATCTTCTTCAGCGCTCCATGCACCTTTCTTAACTCCATTTTTATCATGGAAAGGAGCTCTCACCATCTTCTTCCCCTTCACCTATATTTTTCCCTTTGATTTTCTCTGATCTTCAGCACTGCAGATCATCACTTACCAAACTACAGCCCTCATTTATATCTGCTCATGCTCCTCGTTTGAAAATTTCACCCGTGTTTACACTGGGGACGCATGGACTTTCAGCCCATATTTGTTTACTTACACCATTTTATCAAACAACTGTGTCCCTTTCCTGTCATCATGTCATTTCCCTATAGCAGTGCATAGGAATATTGTGAATTTTTAAGTAAATTACCATGAGGATCACTAAACTATTAGGATGGCTTTATTTTAACAATCAAATTATGAATTTGTTTCTATTAGGTCATATACTATTAAAATAGTTTCGTCCAAGACCGTTAACTGTTGACTAAATTATTGGCGCACCAATTAAGTAAATTTGTATAATTACACATTTAATCTTAATTTTAATTAAAAATGATTGAATAGTCCTACAATGTTGGAGAAAATCAAACGAAATAGAATGAAAAATATGAAAAAATGAATAAAAATGAGGGGATTGAAATTGCGTATTGGAAGGGGATTAGACATGCTTTGCCCATTAAACAAGATCATTATTTAATACATTGTTAACAATGATATATATATTTAAGTTAATTTATAGTTGATGTTTAAGGAAAATATGAGAAAGGATGAGATGGGGAGGGTTCAAACCTATAACTTAAGCAATGTAGGAATAACAATAAGGGTAAAGAATGCAAATGGTCCCCGACTATAGGGTATTGCTTTATTAAGTTCTTCAACTATTAAAATTATAAAATGATCATTCGACTATAGAGTGTAACTTTGTTGAGTCCCTCTACTATTAAAAGTTACAAAATGATCGCATGACTATTCATTATGTACCAAACTCGTCCTTTCACATTAAAATGAACGATATTTTGAGCTGAATGTTAACTTGTTAACTGTTATATGATAAAATTTGATCCCAAAATCTCAAATGACTATCATATCTCAATCAACATGTTAACATTCAACCTAAACAACAGTCAATTCTTAATGAAAAAGGACGAATTTGGAACATGATGAATAGTCGGTGACCATTGTAACTTTTAATAGTCATGTGAGACAACAAAGCGACACTTCATAGTCAAATGACTATTTTGTAACTTGTAATAGTCGAGGGACTTAATAAAGTAATACCATATAATTGGGGAACCACTTGCATTCTTTACCCTAACAATAACTATTAAATCAACTTAAATATTTAATTCATGATTTTTCAAATTTTATATTTATGTTAAATTGTATTCAATGTAAGATTTTCATATTTTAAACTAAATTTCATATTGATTTTCATATTTTAAACTAAATTTCATATTCTTTTACCATTTTTTGCTTTCATGATTACGTATGTAGACATTTTTTTATATTTAGGTAAAATTTTATTTGATGTGATATTTTTTTATACTTCAATTACATAAGTATACATGTCAAATAAATATTTTTTAATATATATATATATATATATATATATATATATATATATATATATATATATATATATTTTTTAATCTTTAAGGAGGAATCTAGACAATGGAGGAGCCACCGCTTGATTAGGGCTTATTTTTTTTATTAGTTACTTATTTTATTGATAGTGTTTACCTTGAAATTTTTCGTGCCCACCTTAAAATCTGAGATTTCTTTGATTAGTTATTTATTTTACGGACGTTGCTCATCCTGAAATTTTATTTGTACCCGTCTCATTTAAAAATTTATATTGTTAACATGCGTGTACCTATGTACACCCTAAAAATATTTTTGGATCAGCCACTCAATATGGATTGTATATATATCAAATTATTTGAAAAAAATATAACTTTGATCCTTCTTTTTAATTGCATTCTATATATTAAAATAATAATAATTTCATTCTATCAAAATCTAGCTACAATCTAACATGTATTCCTTTATATTTATTAAATGATTTAATCATAAACTAATTTGATCGGTTTAGACAAATTAAATATTTTAAACATTTTAAATTGACAAAAGCGAAGAAAACAAATTATAGGTTTTAAAATTTAGGTAAATTACACGATTAGTTACTGAACATTACTCTCTCTCCTAATTCACTCATCATACTTTCAATTTCTTTTAATTTACTCGTTGAACTTTATAGATTAAATATTTTGGTCACTCCGCCGTTAAATAATTAACTGTGATATTACATGACCATATTTTAATCAAAACGATGTCTTTTTAATCTAAAATTTAAATTTTTCCCTAGGAATTCAAAACGACGTCGTCTGATGTAAGTCGCCATGTCCCAACGTCGTTGATTATTTAACGATAGAGTTACAAAAAAAAAATCGATCTATATAGTTCAGTAAATTGAAAGTATGATGAGTGAAACATGAGAGAGAGTAAAATTCAATTACCAAGTGTAATTTACCCTAAATTTTAAGGATCTAATCAGTAATTAATTTTATCTATTTAGACAAATTACACACTTTAAACATTTTAATTTACAAAAGCGAATAAAACAAATAACAAGTCTTGAAACTTAAAAATCTAATCATTAATTAGTGTTTTCGATTTAGACAAATTACAGACTTTAAACATTTTAATTGCAAAAAAACGAAGAAAATAAATTACAGATTTTGATATTAATTATGAGTTTGGACCAAACCGTGTGGAAGGGGAAATTTTGAACATTAGTACAACTGTCTAAATTAAACAAGTTAAAAATGTTCATTTGTTGCATTTGCCAACTATACAATAAGTCAACTATATTTAGAATAAATTATCTGTACAATCATTAAGGACAAAGTAGATTTGTCCAGTGGATGAGACAATGATTCTTTTAAATAAGGTCATTAATTCGTATATTATTCTTAGATGATCAATAGATCAGATACAAGTGGTTATACTAAAAAAAAAAGAAAAGAAATTAAGTACAAAGTACATAAATGATTATAATTATAAGATAATACTTTGTTGAATCCTCTTACTGCTAAAATTTATAAGATGATCACTCGACTATTAATATACTCTAAATTCGTCTTTCTCTATTAAAATATTAACGTCAGTCTGAATTGAACGTTAACTTATTGATTGAAATACATGATAAATTCTGATCTCAAAATTTCAAACGACTATACAACTTAAATGGTTATGAAATCAAATTTTACCATATCACAGTTAATAAATAATGTCTAGCTAAGACAATCGTTATTTTATAATGAAAAATTATAAGTTTTGAAAATATGAATAGTTGAGAGACCATTTTATAACTTTTAATAGTTATTAGACTCAACAAAATAGCGCCGAATATCATTTGTGTACTTTACTTAATCATTACATTGCATGATTGATTTTATTCTAATTATTGAAAATTTATCATTTAAATCATTAAATTTTTTATTCGATTTAAAGTAAAATTATTTATAGTTAATAATTAATGATTAATATTTTAATTAAAACTCGATAGTCTAACTTGATAAATTAATCTTAAAATTTAATGATTTTGAGATAATTTACCCCTATATTTATTAGAAGAGTTGAAGCATCTTTATATTACTATTGAACCTATTATATTTTTACAAGTTAAGGTAGTGTTTCACCTAACTCGAAATCCAATATGATTTTTAAAATAAAATCTCACGCTTGATATGACATATATATATATATATATATATATATAATTTTATTTTAATTAAGAAAAACAAGGACATTCTTAGAAAAAAATATATAGATAGGAGAATATAATAATAATTATATCTAAATATATAAGATTAATTATATTATTATTCTCGGCTCTAATCAAATATTTTTCATCTTAAACATGAATATATCTCGTATTGTCATGATCTTATCTTTAAAAGACTCAACCAAAATTAAAATATAAGGAAATAATTGTATAAACTTGAATCAAATCAAAATACCATATATGTGTGTGGTGTGTGTCACATGTTGAAATACTTTTTTCAACACTTTCCCTGTTCCCGCATCTAAAAATACCAGTATGGACAAAAAATGATTAGATTAGATTAGATTTAAATGTTCCCTTTTTGTCCTTTAGTATCTTCTAGCGGAGTAGTTGGAATTTAGGGTAAACTATAAGTTTAGCACTCCAACTATTATTTTTATTCTGTTTTGGTCACCCAACTATCTTTTTCCGAAATCATATCTAACGTTTAGTTTTGGTTTCATTTTGATTATCCATTATTAAAAACTTAACAGTGATACTCATGTATAATAATAAGATAATGTCATATCATCATTAAAATTTTTAAAAATATCACATCAACAATTTTGTTATTTTTTTAGATGATCAAAATGAAACCGAAATGTAAAATAAGGCATGTTTTAAAAAAATAATTGAATGACCAAAATAAAAAAAAAGTGATCGCTAAAATACAAAATGTGTAATTTATCCTAGAATTTATTAAAAAAAACACCTGTGGTAGTTTTTTTATCATAAAAGTTAAATAAAAGAACAATTTATAATGTTTTATTTTTTTCTTATTTTTAGAGAATTATTTTAAAATAATCTTTTAACAGTAGAAACAAACTAATCTAAAATTAAAATAAAAGAAAAGTTCAAATACATATTTTGACAACGTAAATTTCTACAACGCTCGCTTGATGGGTACCGATGAGCACCATTAACGATGAACACCATTAATGTAATTTATAAAAAATTTAAAATTCTAAAGTGTTAAATGTATAATTATAAATTATTTGAAAATTTAAAAGTAAATTATTTAAAATAAATGGTAAATTATACTAATGACCACCTACCTATTGCCTTCTTTTATTTTGACCACCATTTTTGAAATTTTGCCAATCATGTCACTCAGATATTTAAATACATTCAATTAAGCCACTTGCCATAATATTTAACAGCAAAGTTGATGTGGAATTTAAAATATTTGATATTATTACACATTTGGTCCATGTTACTTGTATATTCTATTAATTTGGTCCTAATTTTAATAAATTAAAATAAACTTAACCCTCAA